TAATTTTCCTTCTCATTCATATGATAAATATGAATAAAATTCAAAAATCTTTAAGATTATTAAAATGATAATTATCCAATTAATGAATTTATAAATTGATTTAATTTGATTTGATATATTTGTCAATAGAAGAACCGAAAATATCTTACCGGAGAAAATATGTATAGCACATTCCAATTGAATATTATATAAAGCAATTCCTGATAAATTGGGATAATTTGTTGCAAGAAGAATACGTTCCATTGATGAAGATTCAAGATCAAGCCATGTGACATTTTCATGTATTTTAGGTAAGATATGTAAACAATAACGATCAAGTATTAGACGAGGCAATGAATAAACATAATAAATTGACAAAGATGTTAATTTAATCAAACGAATTGGTACAAAGATTAGCAAAGTCAAACGATTCGTAAATATAAAATCATATACTATTTTATTTAAACGTATATTAACATCTGATAAAGAGTAAAGTAGTGTAATATTGTCGAATTTTTTAAAAATCATCATCAGGATTTCATCAGGTAAATCTGTCAATTGAACAGAAGAAGAAGGTTTCATATTTATCTCAACTTATCTATTTTCTTTAACTTATAAATTTCAATATTTATATACATATGCTCATCTCTTCTATTTGACCTCTTTCGTCAATGGAAACAAAGATGTGTTCATTTCTATAATATCATTGAACAATAAATAAAATGATCAGTGATTGAATGATTTTTGTTTTTTTCGTTTAACATCTCATTTAATATGTAAATAAACGTTTAGAAAATCACATTACTTTTCATAATTTAATATACGGAATTATATAGCAATGATTTTATTCTTATATGTCAGTATTTACTTTTTAAAAATTCGCTTATTAGTTTTAAATTTCAACTAAATATTCAAAAAAATGAAATTTAATATTTATTTATATCAATTTTATATTCTAAACTCGGATGAAACATTTCTAAATAATCAGAAATAAAATTAATGCGAATGATTTTTAATCAACATGCAGATACATTCTCATTGTCATTTTTCATCTTCTGACACAGTTTCAAAGAGAATTCTTTATTTTTTATTGAGAAAAACATTTAAATGAAATTTTGTCATATAAGATTTGATTTGAGAAGAAAAAATATATTTGCTGATCAAGCAAACAAGACTATTTTATCATAAATTTGATCATGGGAGAAGACATTTCTTCATTTCTTTTCTATATTCAATATTTCATTAAAAATCTTTTTAAATTAAACAAATTAATTTTTCATTATCAATTTAATATTAATTTTCTGCATCTTTTGTTTTTTGTTAATGATTGCTCACATTTATCAACATAGAAATGTTAATCATCATAATACAACAGTTTTCAGTGTACAATTCTCTTAGAAGTAAATAATCAATTGACGAAAAAAGCTTCTTTTCTGAAAATGGTAGTCTTTTTTTTGAAAAAGAATCGTCTCTTTTTTCAATTTCAGTCATTTTCATCATTTCTTATTTAGTACATAAGAGAGTTTTTCATGCATTAACATATAAGATTTCTATAAATACTATTGTATGTATTTCTATGTGAGTATATTAAATGTGTTAAGATGAAAACTATCATAGATTCGAATGTACGTCGATATACTATAGTCTCTGATATATTGACAAGTGGATTTTTCTCTAATGATCTACTTATAATTGCGAATAAGTCGATACTCTACAATGAAAAACAAAGTTGAAATAGAAGTATATCGATCTTCATTGAAATAAATAAGATAACGTTGTTTTTATTTTTCATGGAAATGTTTCATTTGGGAAGAAGAAAGATCTTCAAAAATCATTTGTTTCATTTATTTCTCTCATTTTTTAAGACAATATATTTAACATGATGCATAATATGGTAAATCTTTCTTATTTTTATCAATCAAAAATCTTATTATTTTGTTTGAACAATTTAGTAAAATATAAAAATGTCTTTAACTTTATTCAATTGATACGATTTTCATCTTCTCTACATATAACAAAAGAATCTTTTTTATTGTTTGTAAAAATATGATAATAGTTAGATGAGTATAGAAAAAAAATACTTTGACCATCCGTTTGATCAGTTTTTATGCTTATCTATTCTGAATTCCATGACAGATGCTCCCGCGACAGTTGCTCCCTAACAATATTTGCTCCTGGAGCCCAAATCAAGTCTCAATCAAAAGCACAACTTACTCTCTCTCTCCCTCACCCACACGTACACCCTCACCCTCAGTATCCATCAAATATTGCAGTGTTCAACTACGATGAAATAGAAAAAGGACAGAAGAGATGACAGATATTCATTGTGATTCGCATATGCGTGATAATGATATGTTACAAAAAAAAAAACAGTAGTTCCAGAAATCAATTCAAAACTGATTTTAAAACCCCTTTGAAGGTGACACTTCACCTCTCCAACCTAAGTTTCATCTATATCCAATACTAGAAAGTCAAAAAAATATTATTTTCGGAATTTTCATTTTTTGGCTCCTGTGGTCATTCCCAGTAATTTGCATTTTTGAGCACGTTGCTGACGTTGTAAAAATACAAGTCATAGTGCCTTTTGTAGAGAATTTGTTTCTCTCCAAGATAGACTTATAAAATTTTTGGTGCAAAAACTCTAGAATCGCAATTTTTATCAAAAACCTGAAAACTCAGGTTTTCCATGTTAGGCTTTTGAATTTCTTCGACCTCTAAATATGATGTTCGAGGTGTAAAAAGGACCTCATCTTATTCAACTTTTTTTGCTCTTTCAAATGAGACGTTACTCAAAAAACTCGATCGCAAAATAGCAGAGTAATAAGGGAAATGCGACATGAGTGATTTTGTATAAAATTGAAAATAGCTCTCTTTTTGAAAATCTGATATCTTGGTGAAACTTTGTTTGTTTCGTCTAAAAATTTAGTTACAGAGGTTTTTAAACCTGGACTATCGAATGGACATAGTGAAATTCAAATTTGAAACTTGACCATGTGACATGAATTCTCTGTGGGCTGGTGGATCCTCTCTTAAATATGTCAAAGGGAATCAATTTCAACAAATAATTTCTAATCTAAATATGAAATTTATTTTATTTGATATTTATTTAAAAGATAATTTTTATTTTCTATTGATTAATCTATGAAAATTTATATAAAATAGTAATTATCAAAGATAAATGCTGGAAAAAGTATTTTCTGTTTTAGAATTAAAATGGACAAACATTCACAATTAAAAGAAACATTGTCGACAATAAATTTTACAAACGATTGGGACAAATCTACGTTTATATTCCGGTATATCATGAAAAAAATAAAAGGATTCACGATAATTGAAGAACAACAAATAAGAGATCAAGTTCATTTTAAAAATTTTCTTCTCTTTGTTTTAGCACTGAACCATCATCTATCGCGTGAAGCATGTGATAATGTAGTGTGAATTTATGAACATTCGTGATTTCTTCATCGTCAATGTCATGATAAATCAAAATAGTGGAAGAATTAAAATGAACATCAATGATTATTACAATAACAAAACAAAGTAAGTTTTATTTGAATATTAAAAATTAAATTTTCTAAAATATTTCTTAATGTTTTCAAAAAAATAGTGCAACTACTAATAAAAGTAAAGGTTCATATAGTAATGCTGATGATTGTTTAGTACTTTGATATAATTCTCCAACAACTTCAATAAGAATATTATCTGATGATGATATTATTGACGAACTATCAATCATTTATTGTTTTTCATTAACCTGTTCATTATTTAATGAATTTATATTTTCATTTGATCGTTGTAATAATATATAAATACGTACAAGTATTAAAACAAGATGATCAATTGATGTATTATTATTATTGAACGTTTATATAAACGGTATATATATCATTTGTTAGAATATTGACCAAGTATTAAAAGTCTTTCAAGACTAATTGATATAATTTTTTGCGTTAAATTATCATCTATATCTGATATATCATCTTTAATTAATGATAATAAGATGTCATATGAATTTAAATAATTATTTTCAATTAAATAAAATAAAGCTATATAAACTCATATCTAGATTATATTATATGTTATTCTCTTTTCTGAAAGAAAGGGTCTTACATTTGAAAAATGTATGTATGTTTGTCTGTCCAAGCCAATCAGAAACGAGCTTTTCTAATTTAAAGTTTCTGGTCATTCGGACGAAACTTTGCTACAGGTTTTCTGGGACGGTGAGTTCGAATCGGAGATCGAATTTTTGATCTGAGCTTTCATTGGTCGGAAAACAGATCAATGAGAAACGAGCTTTTCTATTCATCGGATTTTCGCCCATTCTGATGAAAATTTGCTATAGGTTTTCGAGGGTGAGGAGTCCGAATTGGAGGTCGTATTTTTGATCGTAGCTTCCATTCGTTGGGAAACCGACCAATCAGAAGCGAGCTTTTCGATTCTTTGGGTTTTCGGTCATTGTAATGAAACTTTGCTGTAGGTTATCCGGCGTGAGGAAGCCGAATGCGAGGCCGAATTTTTTATGTGAGACTTCATTGGTCGGGAAATCGACCAATCAGAAATGAGCTTTTCTATTCTTCGGGTTTTGGGCATTCTGATGAAGCTTTGTGATAGGTTATCTGGGACGATAAATTCGAATCCAAGATGAGAGTTTTTACGTGAGCTTTTATTGGTTGGAAAACTGACAAATCAGAAACGAGTTTCTCGGCTTTTCGCGTTTTATACGCGTTGGTGAAAACTTGCTATAGGTTATCGAGGACTAGGGATATAAATCTGGGGTGAGTTTTTCATTGAAGCATCCATTTGTCGAATAGCTGATCAATAAAAAAGAAGCTATTCTATTTTGCAGGTTGTACTGGTTGCGGTAAAATGTCGTGTGTGGGTTGCATGTTGCTGATGACAGGTGTTCTATTTGTGTTAATGAATGGGAGGGAGTTGTGTAGATGTGCGTAACGAGTGTTGGTGTTACGATGGTGACTGAAATAGTTGTTCGAACGACTCAGATATACACGCTAATACACTCAGGCGATCACAGTCACAACTACAACGAAAATGATGCAAAGTTGGACACTGTTAATAAACTGCGAGTAGAAGTTTTCGAGGATGAGGAATCTGAATCAAAAGTTGCTTTGTGAAGTTGAGATTTCAATTTTTTGGTTAGGAAAGGATTTTTTGGAGAAAACAAAGATCTTGTCATAAGGTTTGTATGAAGATCTTCAAGATGAGACATTCGAATCTAAAGTGACTTCGTCTTGGTACCCTATTAGAGGACAAGCATATGATGTGTTCTAAAAGTATGGCTGCGAACTCAATCAAATACTAGAGAAGAAGATGTAGAAGAAATAGAAGGAGTAGCAGATAGAGTATGTGTGGAGGATACAGAA